ATCTCATGTGATGTCCATAAAAAAACTTCTTCTTTAGATTATTTATTTTGCAATTAAAAATGATTTGCTATATTCCGTGTTTTCTATTCCTATGTATGAATGATCATAATCAGAACCGTGCGTCTTGTTTTAAAATGAATTCTCTTTTTTTGAGAAATATTTATTTTGTTATCCAATTTTTCACCTCTTACAACTGTCTGCCTCTGGTTTAATTTTATACATTAACGTTTAAGTAACAGTAACTTTTCACTTCATTTTGTTTCGCTTCGTTCCGCTTTTATTACATTTCGCAGTTTACAGGTACCCCTCTTTTCGCCCCTTTTCTATTTTTGATATCTTAATCAAAAATTAAAAAAAAAAAAACTTTCAAAAAGCGAAATAATCAAACCTGCACGTTAAGTTTGATACTTTTAAAGTTTGATCAAATATCTAAACTATCAAATTTAAAAACGATATTTAGAATTTTAAAATTTTAATTATTTGGTGAAAATTTCAAAATTTCAAAACTTTTAAATAATTTGGAATTTTGATATTTTAAAATTTTGATCAAAATTCCAAAAATCGAAATTGGAAAACTTTTTATAACTTTGAATTGATAAGTGTTACACGGACCATTGAAATAAGAAACAATCGTTTAAAAACACGTGGTTGTCTTAAGCGGGATGTAAACGAACTAAATATAATGCTGCAGCCTTTTATTTTGTTTATAAACGTATTAGACATGTTAAATGTGTTTAGAAGTTTAATCTCTTTAATTATTTGAATGAAAGATGTTTTGAGTGTTTTCAACATAAGCTTTTAAAATACAAATGTAGGTCATTGAGTATGTAAAACATTATAAGCAGTTGTGGTATTAAGTAAATGAAGAGGTTGAATACCCTTCCTGACCTCATATGATCATTCGCTGTATTAGGCAGTGATCGTTTTCATGCTGTGCTGTGTTTTGTGGGCTGTTGTTCGTCTCTTGGTTTTATTTAAGTTTCTTTGATTCATGGTTTGAGATCGATTGTCCCTTTGATATCTTTTTACTTTAAGACATTAAGTTGTAGTAATGAAAATCGGTAAAAAAAATCCCCTCACAGTAAAGTGAAGAAGATTAAATGCAATTAGACAATTATCCGCGAAAATAAGTTAATTTGCTGACGGTGATATATATATATATAATATATATACAAGTCTAAATTGAAAACAACCTATGATTACGTTGGATAAAAACCGCAATTTTTATACGTGTGCATGCAAAACAAATTTCTTGGTAGAGGGGTCTAAATACAGCACAAACAACATTTTCCAACAGACCAAATGAGTGAAAAAGTATATTTTAACAAAACGCATTTGACTAGCAGGTCGAACAACTGATGTTCTTAAACCCTGCTGACTGCCATTGGCGATTGCCAAATAAACGGATCACTGATGTAATAAATGGATCTTAATTATAAATTTAATACTAAACAGAAAACAATAGACTTGCGGAAAAGATGGTATACCGCAAACAAAAGGTGCAAAGGTTTTTGTACACCATATCCGGATTTCGACAATTAATGTCTCTTCAGTGATGTTAGGAATCGAAACGGTATTTGGAAGGATATATAATTTACCTCAATTTAGGATAGACTCTTAAATTTTGAAAGAGTCAAAATAGGATGAACGAATCATATAAACCCGAAGGCAAATATAATACAAGCCCAAACGAAAAAATATAAACAAGTCTAAATTGAAAACAACGTTCGAACCTATGATTGCGTTGGATAAAAACCGCAATTTTTATACGTGTGCATGCAAAACAAATTTCTTGGTAGAGTGGTCTAAATACAGCACAAACAACATTTTCCAAAAGACCAAAAATAGTGAAAAAGTATATTTTAACAAAACGCATTTGACTAGCAGGTCGAACAACGGATGTTCTTAAACCCTGCTGACTGCCATGGCGATTGCCAAATAAACGGATCACCAGATGTAAAAATGGATCTTAATTTATTAATTAAATACCAAACAGAAAACAATAAACTTGCGGAAAAGATGGTATACCACAAACATGAGGTGCAAAAATTTGTACACCATATCGGATTTCGACAATTAATGTCTCTTCAGTGATGTTAGGAATCGAAACGGTATTTGGAAGGCCATATAATTTACCTCAATTTGGGATTGACTCTTGAATTTTGAAGAGTCAAAATAGGATGAACGGATCATATAAACCCGAAGGCAAATATAATACAAGCCCAAACGAAAAAAATATAAACAAGTCTAAATTGAAAACAACGTTCAAACCTATGATTGCGTTAAATAAAAACCGCAATTTTTATATGTGTGCATGCAAAACAAATTTCTTAGTAGAGTGGTCTAAATACAGCACAAACAACATTTTCCAAAAGACCAAAAATAGTGAAAAAGTATATTTTAACAAAACGCATATATATATATATATATATATATATATATATAGAACCAAATCGTAATCATGATACATTTAACCACAATTTTTAAAACTTTTACTACTTAAAGAGAGACGAAAGATATCAAAGGGACATTCAAACTCATAATTTGAAAACGAACTGACATAGCCGGGACAAAAAAACGAAAAAGACAAGCAACAGTACACAAAACACAACATATAAACTACAGACTGAGTAACACAAACCCCCAAAAATATTTGGGGTGAACTAATGGGCTCTCAAAGGGTAACCAGATCTTGTTCCACATGTGACACACGTCTTGTGGCTCATGTAATACCTTACTCGGTGATAAGCCTTATTCGACAGGTGACATTCAAGGCAGAGATTACGGTTTTTTGGTTACGTCGATTGGAACTTATTCGTCGTCATCTGGCGAATCAGATATTTCATAACTGTCAACTAACTTGTAGTGGCGTCCATAAATTTTTCGAAGGAATGATTTCAACTTTGCATTTGAACTCTGGTTTAAAACCAGGTTCAAACCACCATTTTTCTTCAAATGTCCTCTACCAAGTCAGGCATATGGCAGTTGTTATCAAATAGTCCGTTTCTATGTATGTTGGCGTTTGTTTTTGTAGCAGTTCAGTGTTTCTGTTATTCCGTTGTTTTCCTTTTATAGTTGATGGGTTTCTCTCGGTTTTGTTTTGTGACCCGGTTTTGTTTCAGTTAAATCGATTTATGACTATTGAATAGCGGTATACTATAGTTGCCTTTATTTAATAGCTTCATTGTGAGCAGTAACCTCAAGGAAATCGTGAAAGTAATTGCAAGCTCTGGAATATTGTATCAACTTGGAGATATATACTCCACAGGAAGATGTCGCGAAATCGCGTTACAGTTGGGCAAGTGTTGAAACAAAGAGTTTTTTTTAAATTTCGCGGGCAGTACGTCGACTGAGCATGCAAAGACAAATTTAGGAAATACAAAACACTACATTTATACGTCATATGATAAATATTTCCGACTTTGCATGGTTTCAGAGGTGTTGCGGCTCAATGAAATCGGTCTCTTCCTTTAGTAGTATAGATATGCAAGCGTTGCTGTAATGTTGCTACATAGAAATGAAAAGTTTACAATTCGGTAGCTGAAATCATCTCTTTTGTCGTAAAATTTGTTCTCAACTAACCCTTATCGGCGATTTCAAGATATGTAATTATAGAGTTAACTGCATGTATCTGTTGAGTCTTTTATATTCAAGTTCAATGGGCAATACGCGTTCAACATTGTCCCAAACTTTGCACTATACAGTGAGAGGACATCATGGAAAATGAAGTTTCAAGATAATGGTAGTTTCTTTTCAATCGCCATAAGAAGCACTTGCATGAAGTCAGCCTCGTAGGAAAAAGGAACAAGTCATTCAAGCTATTCAGGAAGACTAATTGTAACTAGAATCGTTGCGTATTTATGGATTTGTTTCTTCCAAATTATTCTTTTTTGATGAATTAATGCATTAAAACAATGAACAACGCAATTCAAGCAATCACGAAGAAAAGTTTTATAATGTGTTTACTGGTTTTTGAATTCATTGAAATTTCAATTTTCATTAATTTATTTTTTATTTGTTTTTATCTATATTTTCAATTTATTTGTTATGGTTAACATTAAATAACTGGTCTTTTCACTACATGAATGTTTATAATGAAACTAAAAATCAAACAATTAGAAAAGTCGAAAGATGTTTATTTCAGTCTGTGCAGGTTGCAATCTCACAGTTTCGCCCCCTTTTATTTCAAGAAATAGTAAGATGCTCGCACATATTTTTTTTACTTTAAATATTTCAGATTCTTAAGAATTTGTTTATTCAATCTTATATTGACCACATACAATGTTTAAAAAGGAAGAAGTGCTTAAAAGCTGTGTTTCCGCAGATGGCGGTATTTTAGGCAACTGTATGAGTTGTTATGATTTGCTGTTTGATTAGAATTTAAAAGCATAATTATAGGATATTGATGATGTCAAAAACTTCTTTGATAATTATTACAGGGTGCTACTTATTTAAAGTGATTAGCAGTTGCATCAGAAAGAAAAAAATGGGTTTTCACTAATTTTTTTAACTTTTACTCGAATTTTAGGAAACATGTGCTGTTTATCAAAAACACGCTTTAAATATTAGAAAATGCGTTTGATTAATGACTGTTAATCTCTCTGCTAAAAGTTTAAATTGTTTGCATAATTTTATGGTTAAAGTCACTCCACTATCTGTACAGAATAATAAGAGACTATAACATAAAACAAACATTAAATAAATTATTCGTTTATTGATATAAAACATATTTATAAGAACATTATTTTAAAAAGTATAAAACATTTCTACGTCTATTTAAAATATAAAGATTACAGGCTTTGGCACAGCTACGAATCACTAATTTCTATTTATCATCACCCTCGATTTAATTAGTTGGTCCTTAATCAAGAATACGCCTTGTGCACAATGTCATTGACATCTTTTTTTCTTTTTTTCAGATAAATGACCATATATATATACTAATGTAAGTTCGCTTCGGCCTAGTTATTGACCTAGTAATACCTGGTTACATCCTTGTTGATACATTTGTATGACTACATGTATTGACGTACTTACCTTTATAATAAAACATCGATCGATATTTACAGATTTGTAAACAGCTACCCGGTTAATGAAGATCTATAAATGGTATTGTAAAATACTTGAGTTTTAACGAAAATATACCAGTGTGTGTGTTTGAATGTGATATTCAAAGTGGCGCTGTAATGGCGAAGATCGTTCATCCTATATCACCCCCGGAGTATTCAGGACCAGGACTCAGTTTTGATGGCGGACCAAATCCCGGGATATATCCAGGGGCTGCGGAAATAATGACCCCAGATCGTATAGAAGATACAAGTAAGTAACTATATTTTCCAGTTGGTGTGTCCTCAGACTAAAACAGCTGTGTTAACCTTCCGGTTTTATACCGCATTTCCTTGTTTAATATTTACAAAAAACTCTTTATATTCTAGTTCGTCAAATTCAAACGAATATAATGTTATAATAAATCAACACATACATATCTGTCCATAACAACCGGTGTCCATAACGGACGGTCTTTTTCAAAAGTACAAGCAATTATAGTGTAATATGTACAATTTCATTTGAATAGAACAGTTTATCAAAATTTCTAATACTTTGACAATAATAGTTTTGATTCAACAGACACACAGATAAATATCTATCACGCTGACTTTAATTGACATGTTTTTACCAATCTTGACAATTTATAGTTGTGAATCTTGCGTAGGTCTAGTTAAATAACAAATAATTGTTATTATAACATGTCAGCATATGACCTACATGTGTACATGTACTTGTATTTACATATTATTTTTACCTTAAATTATAACAAACTGTCTTAAACTGATTTGTATAATTTTCTTGATAGATATTTCCCTGTGTTATTTTATTCAATTTCATTAAACATATTTAGAATATATAAATATATTTGGACTTGTTTATATTTTTTGTTTGGGCTTGTATAAAATTTTCCTTCGGGTTTATATGATCCGTTCATCCTATTTCGACTCTTTAAAATTCAAGAGTCTATCCTAACTTGAGGTAAATTATATGGCCTTCCAAATACCGTTTCGATCCCTAACATCACTAAAGAAACATTAATTGTCGAAATCCGGATATGGTGTACAAATTTTTGCACCTCATGTTTGCGGTATAACATCTTCTCCGCAATTAAATTGTTTTCTGTTTGGTATTAAATTAATAATTAAGATCCATGTTACATCTCGTGATCAATTTATTTGGCAATCGTCAATGGCAGTCAGCAGGGTTTAAGAACACCAGTTGTTCGACCTGTTAGTCAAATGCGTTTTGGTTAAATATTCTTTTCACTTTTTTGGTCTTTTGGAAAATGTTGTTTGTGCTGTATTAAGACCCCTCTACCAAGAAATTTGTTTTGCATGCACACGTATAAAAATTGCGGTTTTTATCCAACGCAATCATAGGTTTGAACGTTGTTTTCAATTTGGACTTGTTAATATATTTACGTATATATAAATAAAGAAATATAATTCGTCTAAACATCAAGAAATATATATATATATTTGCATTCGGGTTTATATGATCCGTTCATCCTATTTCGACTCTTCAAAATTCAAGAGTCAATCCCAAATTGAGGTAAATTATATGGCCTTCCAAATACCGTTTCGATTCCTAACATCACTGAAGAGACATTAATTGTCGAAATCTGGATATGGTGTACAAATTTTTGCACCTCATGTTTGCGGTATACCATCTTTTCCGCAAGTTTATTGTTTTCTGTTTGGTACTAAATTAATATAATTAAGATCTATTGTGTTACATCTGTGATCCGTTTATTTGGCAATCGCCATGGCAGTCAGCAGGGTTTAAGAACATCCGTTGTTCGACCTGCTAGTCAAATGCGTTTTGTTAAAATATACTTTTTCACTTTTTTGGTCTTTTGGAAAATGTTGTTTGTGCTGTATTTAGACCCCTCTACAAAGAAATTTGTTTTGCATGCAAACGTATAAAAATTGCGGTTTTTATCCAACGCAAACATAGGTTTGAACGTTGTTTTCAATTTAGACTTGTTTATATTTTTTCTTTTGGGCTTGTATTATATTTGCCTTCGGGTTTATATGATCCGTTCATCCTATTTCGACTCTTCAAAATTCAAGAGTCAATCCCAAATTGAGGTAAATTATATGGCCTTCCAAATACCGTTTCGATTCCTAACATCACTGAAGAGACATTAATTGTCGAAATCCGGATATGGTGTACAAATTTTTGCACCTCATGTTTGCGGTATACCATCTTTTCCGCAAGTTTATTGTTTTCTGTTTGGTATTAAATTAATATAATTAAGATCCATTGTGTTATATCTGTGATCCGTTTATTTGGCAATCGCCATGGCAGTCAGCAGGGTTTAAGAACATCCGTTGTTCGACCTGCTAGTCGAATGCGTTTTGTTAAAATATACATTTTTTTTACTTTTTTGGTCTTTTGGAAAATGTTGTTTGTGCTGTATTTAGACCCCTCTACAAAAAAATTTGTTTTGCATGCACACGTATAAAAAATGCGGTTTTTATCCAACGCAATCATAGGTTTGAATGTTGTTTTCAATTTAGACTTGTTTATATTTTTTCGTTTGGGCTTGTATTATATTTGCCTTCGGGTTTATATGATCCGTTCATCCTATTTCGACTCTTCAAAATTCAAGAGTCAATCCCAAATTGAGGTAAATTATATGGCCTTCCAAATACCGTTTCGATTCCTAACATCACTGAAGAGACATTAATTGTCGAAATCCGGATATGGTGTACAAATTTTTGCACCTCATGTTTGCGGTATACCATCTTTTCCGCAAGTTTATTGTTTTCTGTTTGGTATTAAATTAATATAATTAAGATCCATTGTGTTATATCTGTGATCCGTTTATTTGGCAATCGCCATGGCAGTCAGCAGGGTTTAAGAACATCCGTTGTTCGACCTGCTAGTCAAATGCGTTTTGTTAAAAATATACTTTTTCACTTTTTTGGTCTTTTGGAAAATGTTGTTTGTGCTGTATTTAGACCCCTCTACAAAGAAATTTGTTTTGCATGCACACGTATAAAAATTGCGGTTTTTATCCAACGCAATCATAGGTTTGAACGTTGTTTTCAATTTAGACTTGTTTATATATATATATATATATATATTGAAGCCAATCATATTGTCACAAAACTATCTTTGGCAACAATTGCCAATTTCTTTTCATACGACTGCAAAAAAATTTGCGGTCGTATATTGGTATCACGTCGTCGTCGTCGTCGTCGTCGTCATCCGAAGACATTTGGTTTCCGGACAATAACTTTTGTATAAGTGAATAGAAATCTATGAAATTGAAACACAGGGTTTATAACCACAAAAGGAAGGTTGGGATTGATTTTATGGGTTGTGGTCCTAACAGTTTAGGAATTAGAGGCCAAAATGGGGCCCAAATAAGCATTTTTTCTAGTTTCCAGACAATAACTTGTGGAACGGTGTATGGATCTCTCTGAAATTATACCACAAGGTTCCATACCAGAAAGGGATGGTTAGGATTGGCTTTTGGGGGTTATGGCTGAAACCGTTTAGGAATTAGGGACAAAAAAGGGGAAAAAAACAACAGTGTCCTGGTTAATGGACAATTACTTTTAAGTAAAATGTTAAGTTTGGATTACCTCCCTTACACTGCTTTAAACTATTAAATTGGTAATCATGGTTGTAAACTCCATTGGAAATTTGAATTGAGATTATGACCTTATCTTGAGGGAAATAATTTTTTTTTTTGGAAAAGGGGGGGGGGGGATGAAAAAAATTAGGGGGGGGGTAAAAAAGAAATTTTGGGGGGGACAATTTTTTCTTAAGATTTAAAAAATTAGAAAAACATTTCTTCAAATATTTATTTTGCAAAAAAAGGGGGGATAAAAAAAAATTGTGGGGGGGGGGGGCAATTCTCAACAGCATAGTGTATTGCACAAAAGCAAAAAATTGAATATAAATTCAAATCATATAACCAATACTAATTTCTTTGACTACAGTTATTCTGTGTCAGAAACCTATTATGTGTCAATATTTAATTACAATCCAAATTCAGACCTGTATCAAGCGCGAATATTCTGTCCATTTTTGCCCCAACTGTTCAGGGTTGGACCTCTGCGGTCGTATCCAGCTGCGCTCGGCGAAGCAATTTATTAATGCATAACAGGATTTAGATTTATAAATGTTATTTGCATTGTGTGTTTCAGCAAGAAGAATACTTTTTTAGATTCTAAGTCTTTTTTTTCCAAGCCTGCAAAAGTTGCCGGTAAAATAAACAAACACCTGAATTAAATGTGATACGATCAATACGCCTGTGCCCGATCAATAAATTTACAGTTAAATGAACTATTGTTGTTCAGATATCTATTGTCCTCTTTTGTTCATGTCGATCAGTACATTTCATTACAGTTATTACCTGAGGGGAGCGTCTCAAACGATTTACCAAGCTTGGTTTATTTTTCAGTTAGAGCTGAACAAGGGATATCAAAATCAAGGAAAGTTTTTAATTTTGTGAAACATGAAATGAATTTAGATATTTTATTATTCATCTAGATCGCACAATGCTACTAATCTAATAAATGTTACGGTGTTTATATTTGACAATTAATGTTGATGAACCTTGTCCATTGTTAGGTCTACCAGGTAAATATGACATGTCTCAGCATTCAACCGATACGAAGGGATAGACATTTTATAGTCACAGAAACAGTCCAATTCACTAAGATACACTTAAATAAGATGAACTCTATATAATTCTGACTTAAAATATTTAGAATGTTGAGATCTACCTAATGTATATTTTCATCAACACTGTCAGACGACTACTTAAGATGTTGCACTTACATGCACGATTTTTACTAACGTCTTTGAGTTTTTGGCTAATATATGTGTATTTGAAAAAATATAAAAGATAGATAGAAACGTAACTAGCAAAACGTAACAGCTAGACAAGACCTAGTACTATTGATTTTCAATGACAATTTTCATCAATTTTTATAGTTTTTTTCCATTTCCTAGAAAACCATAAAAGACAGAGATACATTTATATTGCTATAAAATTGAGAATGGTAATGGGGAGTATGTCAAAGAGACAACGACCCGACCAAAGAGCAGACAACAACCGAAGGCCACCAATGGATCTTCAACTCAGCGAGAAAATTCCGCACCCGGTAGTGATCCTCAGCTGGCTCCTAAATAAAATTGTGTACTAGTTCAGTGAAAATGGGCGTCACACTTAACTCCTTAACATATCAATGAACTAAAATTAAAAAACATACAAGGCTAACAAAGGCCAGAGGCTATATTGACTTGAAAGACAAGATCTACAAATAAGACAAATTTCGTCGATTTTCATGACGTTCTTTTGTCAAAACCTAATTATGATTAAGATAGAAAGAACTGTAAACATAGAAATATGATCTGCAATACAAGAGGCCAACTGAAGAATGCCTCCGTGTGATCTGCAATACAAGAGGCCAACTGAAGAATGCCTCCGTGTGATCTGCAATACAAGAGGCCAACTGAAGAATGCCTCCGTGTGATCTGCAATACAAGAGGCCAACTGAAGAATGCCTCCGTGTGCGGGATTTTCTCGCTGTTTTGAAGACCTTGAGTTATCATAGACAACGAAAAATAACAACAGATATTACCCTTATCAGGAACATACCTAGAAACGTATGATAGTAGAGTGGGAGTGAGGAGGGGGTATTCACAGGAGAGGAGAAGTCATTTCTTATTATCGTGATGTAAACATACGGAAAGTTGTATCAGAGATTCCACCTTTACTTAAAACTTATATCCTAAGGAGATATAAAGAAAATACCACATGACCTACTGCCAACACATACATCACACATGGTTATAAATTAAAGGTGTAGTGCCTGTTACATTAATTTTGTACGTCAAGTTCAATTTATTTGTGATTTTGAGGATTTCAGTATTCAAGTACCATACCAACGTAACGATACCCATCATAAAAATAAGGAGATGTAGTATGATTGCCAATAAGACAACCATCCACCAGTCCTGAGACCAAGGAGATGTGGTATGACTGCCAATGAGATAACTGTCCACCAGAGACAAATGAAGTTGATGTAAGCGATAATGTATTCTATTAGTTCATGTTATTGTAGAGATAATTAAACATCTTTACAGTGTAATCTTAATTGATATAAAGCACAACAAATAGGAAAACGTAGATTCGGTAGCACGTTGCATTGTATAAATAGAACAATATGCTATACAGATTACAAATACTAAAACTAAAAGATTTTTTTCAGGACGATAAATACATGTGTCATGCATGTATCTCTTAAAAATTTCGAAATTTATATTGTTCTTTTTTCTATCTTTATTTATTTACACGTACGACGACGAAAATGAACTTCATTTAAATAATCAACAAAACAAGTTTGATTAAGAACAGAGAGGGATTTCACAAATTTCAGGAATCCAGATGCATGAAATTAGATATATGGCGCCGAATGGCCAATGCTGGTCATAATTTGTAATCATTGCAGATGGCTCATATGAGACCCAAACATTCCTGTTCTAAAATGTGGTTTTATAAAAATGGTACAATTTTGAAATTTATATACTCGAAGCTTTTAATAATAATAATACTTTATTCAGAAGCAATACAGCTTATAGAATATACATACATTTTTACAATAATATTTGAATTAGAGTTATCTTTCTTGTTTCAGCACCTCCACCAGCATACGATTCAATTTTCGTCAATGATCAGAGACAACCAAAACCTAACGTGCACCATGATGACAGAAATTTGTGGGAGAAAGTTCACGAATGGTTTGAATTCTCGGGTAAGTATATATATTGTAGATATATACGTTCACATACAAATTGTAACATGCAGCATTGTACTATTAAATATGATATCGTGTTCATATATATTATATATTGTCGCTAGTAGTGTATTTTTATGGTGACATTTACTTCCACATGGTACCATAGCGTTTCTTTTGCACGTCTTGGTTGTTCACGATCCTTTGCAGTTACACCTTTTGCTTGCGAGTGAAAAGCTAGTGATCTTAGCAGCTGTGTGCAGTGATACCGAGGTCTTGGGCCATTCCGATGTGTCTACGATGTCCTTCTCTCGTGTCAATTATTAGACTCTTTATCCTGTCGACTTTTTCTTCAGTTAGTAAAACAGTTGACTAATGGTGTAACAGTTCATTAAGATATTTTTGGAAGTTTTCTTCCCAAGTCGACATTTTACCATTGAATTTCAGTCGTGATAACAAATCGGTAATGACCATAGGAATAAAATGTGTTTACTATAGCTTTAACTAGTGGGTAAAATTAACTGTGTGAAACTGCTTATTCTTTATTATGTTAATCAGGTTATTATTATAATATAATAAAATTACCTTTGATAGCGTCTTTCTAATGACGTGACAACTAGAAGGGTCAAACCTTATGAAGAGATAAGTATTAAAAGTAAGCGTGTTAATTACCCCGACCATACGCGTATGGTCGGACCATATAAGTATATAGCCATATGGTCATGGTTTACTTTTATGGTTTACTTTTATAAATTGTGACTTAGATCGAGAGTTGTCTCATTGGCACTCATACCACATCTTCCCATATCTATCTATGACCATACGCGTATGGGCCAAATACTCATATGGTCCGGAACAGGTACATGTATATACGTTCACATACAAATTGTAAACATGTATTACACATTGCACTATTATATTGATTGTTGGTGTTTTGACGCCACTTTTAAGCGTCACATTTGGGTATTTCGTGGCGGCCAGTTTTCATTCGTGGAGGAAGCCGGAGTGCCGGGTGAAAATCTCCGACCTTCGATAGGGAAACTGACAATTGTACTGTTGATATGACAAAGAACAGGTTGTATAGATAAATAAACCAAAAACGAAATGAAACAATTTAAAAGAGGTAGGGCCGATTTGCGATGAAGTTTTCTCTTACAGGGTCAAAAGTCAAAAGTTGCCAAATCGTACTGGAAATGAAATGTTATTTTATTATGAAAAGAGTAGTCATTATATGATTAATTTTGTTTCAATAACGCAATATAACGACCTAGTTTTAACGTATCAATGAACATAATATTATATTTAGATCAGATTAAGTTTTATTTTCAATGGAAGGAGCTTGTTTTGTGGGTTAGATGAGGTTTTACTGTCGAATACCAATTCGATATAGGATAGTGACCGCCATTGACAGTACAACCTCATTTGACCCACTAACCAAGCACCTGTGGTCCGACTACATTTTGATTATGATGTAGCTTGTTGAAAACATGTGTTTAAATTCTCGTCTATTAATATTTATTCCGATGATGTCTGCGAATTTTTAAGTTGACATTCAAATGTTTACAACATAATGTTATTGTTTATATGTGCTGTTTGCTTTTTTTTTCAGTCCTACAACAAATAATTTGGCTTGGTGCTCTCGTCTTTGCGATAACCTACATTCGTTTCGGTAAGTTAATATTAATGTAATATATAATTAAATAAATGTGTATGCACATGTAGTTCAATACTTGTGCGTTTCATTATACCGTCATCTAGATTTTTTTATTATTATTTTTTATTTTAATAGGGATTTAAACCAAAAACAAAATGCTAGCAACCCAATGGTTGGTAAAGTAATTGACTTCATGCGTACGCACAATGTTTGTTAAACATGTGAAAGAAATAGAAGTCACATATTTCTATTTGATTTTTAGGACGTTTGCTTGTGTTGAATTGACAAATATTCGGCACCTCCTCTTTATCATGTTAAATATTTTTTGTATTTATTTCTAAAGGTTCGAAATATGCTGGTCAATGTTTTCGGAAAAAGTACGATGGAAAAGGTAAAACCACAGAAGAAGAAGACCTCCCGTCATTCATGAAAATAGAGGGCGGAGTTTTGTGTGCATTAGTTCTCTATGTCTTCTTTTGGCGTTTACTATTCATCTGTGACAGGAAGCGGACACGTCGCATTAACAAAGCAGATTTGGAGGGAAGAAAAAAATGTGGAGGCTACTTGTTTTTCTTTTGCTGCGGTCTTTGCTTTGCAACCTTTGTTTTATGTATTATAGGTATGTACTTAACACTTCAAAAGTATTTTTAATAATGCACAACAAAGTAAGACCTACAAATAAGTCAACATGACCAAAATGGTCAATTTTAACAATTTTCATAAATTTTGTAAATTTTGTAATTTTTTACACAATATTTTCCTCTGTAACTACTGGGCCAAGTTCATTATAGATAGAGATAATTGTAAGTAGCAAGAATGTTCAGTAAAGTAAAATCTACAAACACATCACCATCACCAAAACACAATTTTGTCATGAATCCATCTGTGTCCTTTGTTTAATATGCACATAGACCAAGGTGAGCGACACAGGCTCTTTAGGGACTCTAGTTTTTTTTATAGTTAATACTGTGCGTATTGCTGAGTTTTTGTTTAGGGCGTAGTGGTGGGGGAGGGGATTGAGATCACTGTACATTTTCAAATCTCGCCGCATTTTTCACACCTTATCCAAGTCAGGATCCTCTAGCCTTTGTTAGTCTTTGTGCTTTTTAAATGTTGGTTCATTTGTATGGACTATATAAAGATCAGGAGATTTTGGTATGATTGCCTGTTAGACAGACAAGGTCGTTAAAAACTTCCATTTGTTGTATGATTGCCAATGAGACAGCTATCCACAAAATCTCAAATGAAGTGGATGTAAGAAATTATAGACAGCCTTCTGGCCTACAACAATTAGAAAAACCAAAAGCGTATGGTCGGCTATAAAAGGCCCCAACGTTTAAAGTATCACGCAATTCAATTTAGAAAACTGCGGCATAATTTATAACAAAACAGTTTACAAAAAAACGAACATAACAGACATGAACCAATGTCAAACACTGAACTACAGGCTTCTGGCTTGGGACAGGCACTTAAAGAATGTGGCGGGGTTAAACATGACAACCTTCCCCTAACCATTGACTGTCGTGTTACAGCACAACATGAGAACAAATTATAAAAATCAGTTTAAAAGGGCTTAAATCATCAGTATACATTGTTGTTTAGGGATCAGCTGAAGCCCGCCTCTGAGTGTGGGATTTTTTCGCTGCGTTGAAGACTCGTTCGTGGCATTGGGATCTTTTCTGCTCTATGGTTGGGTTATTGTGTCTTTGACACATTCTCCGATTCCATTCCCTATTGTAAAAATATCAATTCTAATTTATTTTCAATTTCTTCTTATCCCTCTATGATTATTTAGTGTAGTTGACGGTTGATATTGTCAGCAATGAATGCTGAATTAACGAGCCCGTTTGAAATTTGAAAACTTTCCCCATAAACATTTACTAGTAGTTTCTTTAAAAGCAACACGATTTGCTAGTAGCAAAAGCGGCGATAAACACATGAGTGCGCCAGAATGGCAGTGTGTTTGGACAGCATATAACACATTGAAAATAACCCTGCTTAACATTATATAACGTTGTTAGCTTTTTGTTTGTTTGTTTGTTTGTATAGTTTTTTGTTTATAATTTATTTGGCACTATTTACTATTTATAGTATATTATTTCTGTTGTTTATTATAACTGCGCCTCAGAGGTTTATCATGGTATTATGTATTTTTCATCTAGCAAACCTTTCAGACAAATAAAAAATGACAGTAATTTGATAGGACTGTACTTGTTAGGGGAAAAGATGTATACTGCTGTTATAAATCTGTTAAATAAATGTTGGTTTTCCTTACAGTATCGAATTGAATACATTTTCAGTTATGGATTGTGTTTTGCATAAATCTGGTAGATAAATTTGTTAAGGTTGTATTACATCTTTCAAGTTTTGGTAATACATCTTCCTGTAATATTGTAAATAGAGAGGAGGGATATTATAAACATCATTTCAACAGATTTCCTAGTCTTCGAATCATTCCTGAACCACGTGCCTTGCTAACTACGTATAACTACTTTAACATAGTGTGTGTGTGTAAGGGAGAGGGGTTATGTATTTTTGTTTGTGTGTGTGAACTAAAATCAGCAGAATGTTTAAAATAACTTGTTATAAAAACTTTTATACAGGAGCAACAAAAGTTTTCCAATTCCATGATGTCACTAAAAATCATACATTGAAGTGTGACGAGGAGTTCTATAACTTTTACCACGATGCCAAGATAGGACAGATGGTCGTATTTATACCGTATGCTCTTTACATCATTGTCTCCATATTTATTGTTATTCCTAAAGCAAGTAAGTATGATGCAGACATAATCTTTCAATCAGTTTAATTGAAATCTGGAGCTGGCATGTCAGTAACTGCTAGTAGTCCTTTGTTCATTTATGTATCATTGTTATTTTGCTTAGTTTCTTTTATTACCTATTCTGACATCGGACTCGGACTTCTTTTAAACTGAATTTTACTACATACGTATTGCTATGTGTTTCTTTATATAATTCTACATTGGCTAGGACGTATAGGGGGAGGGTTGAGATATCCCAAAACATGTTTAACCCCGCCGCATTTTTGCGCCTGTTCCAAGCGTAAGCCTCTGGCCTTTGTTAGTCTTGTATTTTTTTAAAATTTTAGTTCATTTACATGTTTTGGAGTTTAGTGTGACGTCCATTTTCACTGAACTAGTACACAATTGTATTTAGGGGCCAACTAAGGACCACCTCCGGGTGCGAGATTTTCTCCCTGTGTTGAAGACCCATTGGTGGCCTTCGACTGTTGTCTGCTTTTTGGTCAGGTTGTTGTCTCTTTGACAAATACCCCATTCCCATTCTCAATTTTAATTATCATTGTTGAGATATGTTTAAATAATGGAGTTGTAGATGACAGATTTATAAGGTGTAATAACACGTATAGGTTCCAAAGTACGCAATGTTTCTGAGTAAAGACATAACTCGACTAACAAAAGATGCATTTTATATAGCAAAGCTGGTCGATTGGTCTATATAGTGCGATGGACACGATGCAGGTGGTGTTGCTACCATGCCTCGGATGCAGGGGTTCGAATCTCGCTGAGCGAAGGACAACATTCAATGTTGATGGGCTATATTTGAGAAGAAGTATTATCATATTAAAATACTTCTTTTTATGTATTATTAGGAAAATAGTCTTTATATTTTAATTAACAAATTGGAGCTTATCCATTGTATCTATTTTGTGTAATTAGTTCCGCCATATTACAGTTTCTGGTTCTGAGATAAACGTATATATTTTGAACTCAATTGCGGAATTATTATGTCCCCGTAGGGAACATTAGTTTTACCCTTGTCCGTCTGTATGCACGTCCGTCTGTCCGTACGTCCCAAATTGGTTTCCGTTCTGTAACTTTAGTTTGCCTCAACCAAATATTATGAAACTGATACACTATGCTTATAACCACAAAACACAGATCAAGTTTTAATTTTGGTGGCGTCACTTTTACCTTTCTAGAGTTTTGCCCCTTTTCAAATGGAAAAAAATGCTGAATTTTTCTTCGTTTCCGTTCTCTAAGTTTAGTTTGCCTCAACCAAATGCTCTGAAACTTATACAAAATGCTTAATACCACAACACATAGATCAACAGTGAATTCTGGTGGTGTCACTTTTACTGTTCTAGAGTTATGCTCCTTTACAAATAGAAAAAAATATTGAAATATTCGTTTCTGTTCTCAAACTTTAGTTTGCCTCAGCCAAATATTATGAAACTTATGCACAATTCTAATTACCACAAACACAGACCAAGTTCGAAATTTGTAGGCGTCAGATATGCCGTTCTAGAGTTATGCCCCATTACAAATGGAAAAAATTGCTGAATTGTTAGTTTCCGTTCTTTAACTTAAATTTGCCTCAACTAAATGTTATGAAATTTATACACAATCCTTATTACCACAAAACTCAGGTCAAATTTGAAAATTTGGTGGCGTCAAAAGTTTTGTCCCTTTATAACGATATATGCAAGCGGGGACATCATCTGAGTTCCATGGACACATACCCCATTTATTATTTATAAAAATAGTGATATGTCAGAGTTTGATGATTTTTTATTTATTTTCAAAATGATAATCTATCATTGTTTTGGTACATTTGTTTGTTGGTTAAAATTTATTTTTGAAATAGCTGGTTTATAAATGGATTTCATATTTTGTGTCATCATTCGAATGTATATCATTTAAACAGAAATATTCTGAGACATCAAGGTATTCTTTTTTTTTATCACAGAAAATTGGTTTATGCGACATAAATGGCACCAGTGGGCCAGTCTTCTTGATGCCGACCAAGATGGAATAATCAGTTCTGATGACATGGAGGAAACCAACACCACGCTCGAACAGCTACGACTGGCCATTGGCGATAGGAGGACGGCTTTAAATGCAGATGCGCAGAAAAAATGGTGGGATGATCATATTTTCAAAAGAGGAGCAAACAAACACATCTCTGTTGACGACTATGTCGCTTATCTGGAGGGAATTTATAATCCCGCAGATATGGGGAACAAAATGCGCCCAG